GCAAGGCAGGCGCTACCAAAAATCGCTGATTGGTTTATTTTGACATCTCCATGGAAACTGAGACTGTAACGCATGCGCTATCGATGCGCTACCAATTTGAAGCGTAATATTGACGACAAAAACGCCAGTTGCATTTTTAGACGTGGACTTCCACAGGAAGCCCACGTAATAATGTAGGAATTCAACCATCAAGGATAGAAAAAACGTTTTACGCTGCTACGTTTTGAACAAAAGAAGCCCCCCACCAAAACATGAAGTGCACTGTTGGGGAAACCTATCTTCTAGAGAGGTGCATATCATGTTTTATTGCAAATGGTCGAGCATATATCGAAATGACATTGTTTTCTTTAATTAAGCTTTCTCTACTGCGGGTGTGAGAAAGTAAACCTTTACAAGTTTTTAGCATAGTCATTCCCATGCAGATAGACTGTCAATTTGAAAAGACACCAAGTATAACGCTAAATTTACCCAAATTGGTCCAAATCTGGCCAAATCATTCAAAAATACAAATTATTTTGAACAATTTTTGAAAGGCGACTACAGACAGTCAATCTATATATATGACACCACTTGCGAAGAAATCATAAAAAYAATAAGCWCATTAAAAAACAAAAATAGTTGTGGAATAGATAATATTAACATAAAAGTAATCAAATATGTAGCCTCCTTAATATCGCTACCTTTAAGTCACATTTTTAATCTTTCATTTAACACAGGTAAAGTTCCTGATCAATTTAAAATTGCTTTAATATCACCAATACATAAATCATGTGATAATAATGTTTTCTCCAACTATATATTATATATAATATTATCTGACAGTCAATATGGTTTTCGCAAGAAACGTTCCACCAATCAAGCTATTATAGAATTAGTAGATAAGATAACAAATTCAATTGAAAAAAACGAAATAACAATTGGAATATTTTTAGACCTTTCTAAAGCCTTTGACACAGTCAATCATTCAATACTCTTAAAAAAGCTTAAAAAAGCTATCCAAGGCGAACTGATGGACATATTCTCTTGTTATCGTGAAAATTTCTTATAAAATTATTTTCTTTGTTCCTCTTGCTCATTTTGCAAAATTCATCCAGAAACAATCGATCAGTTCTTTTGAACATTTTATCGGGTCAAAATATTCAAATTCGTACTTGGTAAGAAAACATAACATTTTTTACCCGAAATGAATATTTTCAATATAATTTTAGGTTATGACACAATTACAATCAACTTTGACATTCTGATAATTATTTAATCTGCCTTAATATAAAGCAGAAGACAACGCTAAAATACCTGCATTAAGATTCGTTGTTGATATGCTAAAAAAAACTATGAGCAAATTGAACATAAAAAAATTAATTGCTATTTACAAAGACAAATTGCATCAACATTTATCTTAGTGCCAAAAATTATAAAAAGCAATAGAAAATTTTATGATGCTCAGACATAGTGTAGGATCATAGTGGCGGGACTTATTGTAAAATAATGTAGGAATTCAACCATCGAGGATAGAAAAAACGTTTTACGCTGCTACGTTTTGAACAAAAGAAGCCCCCCACCAAAAAATGAGGTGCACTGTTGGGGAAACCTATCTTCTAGAGAGGTGCGTATCATGTTTTATTGCAAATGGTCGAGCATATATCGAAATGACATTGTTTTCTGCTTTCTCTACTGCGGGTGTGAGAAAGTAAACCTTTACAAGTTTTTAGCATAGTCATTCCCATGCAGATAGACCGTCAATTTGAAAAGACACCAAGTATAACGCTAATATATTTCGAAATAGCCAAAAAGAAATCTTAATCTTATTAAAGGGATCTCCAGGGAAAAAAAAACACTTATAAATATTATCAATATAGTTTAACAGTATCTCCTGTTTACTGAATGTCTTATTTATAAAAAAATGTGCCATATCCAAGGCGAACTGATGGACATATTCTCTTGTTATCGTGAAAATTTCTTATAAAATTGTTTTCCAAGTGTCGAGTACCTGTAAAACTGACAAGCGTGACGCTCAGTGTCTCGCTGGTTSGAAAGATTATTAATGCATGCATTAATATGGTCATTTGTTTATTATTATTAAACATAGTTTCGTTTGCACAAAAAGAAAGAAAGATTTTAGAGAGAGACTGGAGACAATAAATGTGTGACGTAGCTTCAGTCAGATCAGTCTTGAAGTTTACAGAGAAATACTAGCAAAATTCCGTCATTCACGTTTGAATCTGACATTAAAGAAAACGAAATTCGGGAATTAATATTCGAATGAATTATGTCACCAAGTTCTCATTAGTGCAAAAAATAAAAAAAAAACATCTGACGGATGCTACGTCACGCTTATTGTAACCAGTCCCCCTAGGACTCTCGCTTTAGAAAACGCAGGAAGCCATTTTCTGAAGTTACGGTTAATCGCCTCAAATACACCCCACTATTTTGATTTTTGAATTTCTTTTTTCTCCAAACCATATTCAATGATTAGTATACTTTCCTTAGAAAACAAAACAAAAAATCCTTTATATGCACTTTAACACTATTTTGTAGTAAATAGTGGAAAGTATTGCACACATTTAATATTTGTACCCTACCATGCTTCAAAATGTCATTACTAAAATTGATTTATATTCTAAACTCGCTACGATATTCAATGTCATTAGTCATGACTTTTGTTATACACGTCCCTTTAAACAGCATATGTTGGATTTTAAATTTATAATTGTTAAGTACGTATCTAATGGTACATATTAGCAAATACTAGGAACCCTGTGGCAGTAAGTGAAGGTGTCATTCTAGATTAAAGTAACGAAAAAGAAATAAAAATATYATTAACGCTGCCTATATGAAACATCAGTATTACGATGTAATAATATATTATTAAAAAAKATATAGATTCGGAAAGTCTAAACCCACGCCAACACCCAGAGATAGTGACAAAAGATTCTTCGAAGCGTGGATGTATTAGAGCCAACACYAATACAATAGGAATGAGTATACCTACCTGTAACCACCAGTGTGAATCAAAATGGTGATCGTTTTTTGAAGCAAGTGCTTGAATTAAAGACAAAACACGCTTATTGTATTCACACGSTAACCCTAACACAGAAAAATTCTGGGAGAATTCGAGATCCGTAAGAAGGTACCTGGATGTATCATAATTTATTCTTCGTTCAGCGGCACCAATTGTTTACAGCCCATCCATAAAACGATTTATTAAGTTTTACCCCAATCATCGCTTGTTCTGATTTGCTAACCTTAATCTTAATAATATCTTATGGATATTCATAGTCATTGTCCTCTTATCAATGACTCTTTTCAGTTGTTCTTCAAAAAACTCCAAATGTCCTCATTTGAACTAAATCTTTTTATTTCTTTGAATGGTGAATATTACTTCATGTATTTGATTACAATATTCTGAATTGACATCGACTATTTGACAGCTATTCAAGCAACTGCATCAATTAAAAGGTTTTGGAGGCAACTCTGGCACTTTTGAGAGGCACCATAAACCCGGCGGACATCGAGTCTAAAAAAGAGCGGAAGAACGTTTAAATAGAAGATAACAGTGCTCATATATCAGCACGGCACAGTATCATAGCATTTCCAGTGTTTTTTAAAACACAATGATCGTTTACAAGGCGTCATTTTGATTAATTAAATGTTTATTCACTGACCGTTATTGACAATAATGCATGAGTCAATTGAAACCCCGCACCCATCCGGGCCTTTGCGGGGCATGTGCGGGGTTTAAGCAAAGAAATCACCTATTATATATGCCTTGGTGATCGAGAGATTCACTTCTTTTCACTGCTTTGTACAGCTCGATAGCGGGGAAGTCACCTTGGTCAGCGGTGATTGTATTGATTGTGTAAAGTATATACACGACCATCCAGGATCAATTCTTTCGATTATGAACTCGCGGTGCCGAAAGTACAAACCATGGCTTCCAGCCTTCCTTTTGCTTTAGGAATAATTGAATATGATATTTTTAAGCGACTATATTTCTGTAAAAAAAAGGAGGAAAAAGAAAAACAATTCAGGCGATGCTCGATCCCACGGTTCGTACTTTTGACACCACGAGTTCATAACCAAAAGAATTGATCCTGGGTTGCCTGTGATATATAGTTAATATTCTAAACCGATTTCTCTTGCTTCATTATTTTTGTATGAATAGTCAGTGTCAAGAGACAATTACGGGTTTGCATTTCAATTCCATTTTTGCTACTGGGGATTCACCTGTTCACCTGGTGACTAGGGGCATTCACTATTATTCACTTGACTCATGCATAAGGATATGTTACTCTAATGGTCCTTGCATAAACATTCCATTACTCAAAATGGCGACTGCCAAAGAATAATGTGACAAAATAGAACTTTATCACGCGTATTTTCTTCACCGGGCATGGAATTCCGGATAATATAAATTTACTTGAAAAAAATGCATATATATATTCGCTATTTTCTCTTTTTCTCTTTCTTTTTTTTCTCGC